AAAAAAAAAAAAAAACAATCCACTCAGGAAATTCTGAGTGGGTAATTCTGGAGAAGTTTACAAAGACAAACCCAAGGGCCTGGTTTAGTCAATACCTCCTAAAGACCATTATCCTACAGTTCCAGGCCATTCCAAGACTGGGAGCGATTGTGGAAGAATTCAGGTAAGAGTTAGGAAGAAGCTGGGTGCTGCTGGCTCATGCTTGTAATACCAACTACTCAGGAGGCTGAGATCTGAGGATCATGGTTCAAAGCCAGCCCAGGCAGAAAAGTCCATGCGACTCTTATTTCCAATAAACTACTCTGAAAAAGCCAGAAGTGCACCATGGTTCAAGTGATAGCATGCTAGCCTTGAGTACAAAGAGGCCTGGGGACAGTGCCTAGACCCTGAGTTCAACCACCAGGACTAAGAAAAAAAAAAGGAAGAAACAGGTGCAAGCTGTTCTGCTGTCAGTAGCATCAGATTGCAGAACCAGAAGCAGAAAGACAACCCCAAATCTTTTTTTTTTTTTGTCTTTGTTTAGCATTGATTCAAGCCAGCAGCTCACATTACCAGCCTAGGTATGCAGCACAGTTGTCTATCTGCATGAGAAAGGCCACGAGACACAATGGACGTGGGTATCGCATTCCTTTCATGGCCATGTCCAAAGCCAGTGAAGACAAATAGATCTGAGCTTGAATACCAGCTTGTCTACCTATGAGGTGTCTACTTTGGTTTACTAAGCCTTAGAACTTTCATAGGAATAACATTTCTCACCTGCTATATAACTTGAATTAAAATAATTATTTTAGGCCTTACTTCTTTATTAAGAAGACTAAAATTCCTCTTCTTTCTCTCTCTTTCCGCCTTTCTTCCTCTTTCTTCCTTCCTCCCTCTCTTGCTACTCTCTACCTCATTCTTTCCTTCCTTGCTTCCTTCCTTGCTTCCTTGCTTCCTTGCTTCCTTCCTTGCTTCCTTCCTTCCTTCCTTCCTTCCTTCCTTCCTTCCTCCCTCCCTCCCTTCCTTTTTTTCTCTCTCTCTCCCTCCCTGCCCCCTTTCTATGTCCTATTACTAGGGCTTGAACTCAGGGCCTGGGCACTGTCCCTTAGCTTTTCCACTCAAGGCTAGCGCTCTATCACTTAAACTATAGCTCCACTTCCAGCTTTTTGCTGGTTAATTGGAGATAAGAGTTTAATGGATTTTCCTGCCCTCGCTGGCTTTGAACAACCATCCTCAGATCTCAGCCTCCTGAGTAGCTAGGGTTTCAAAGGTGAGCCAACAGCTCCTGGCTGAGTATTTCTTAACTCTTCCTATATGAGGTTCTTATTCCTATTATCAACCAACTAATACACATTCAGATAATAGCAGATAACATACAATCACAATATTAGAATTAAAACCCTTCAAGTAATTCCACTTCCATATTCATAAAAAAATAAGGAAGCATTATATTGCTAAGTGGAGTTACTGATGGGTAGGCAGTCAATGCTACAGGTGAATGAGTCTCTGCAGTTACACCCTAAGGTCTCCCAAACTAAGGGCATTAGCTTTGGCCTGGATAATTGCTGCTTTATCAGACACATCCTATGAATGGCTTCGATGGCCTTTCTGTCTTTGATGGAACATCCAGTGACAAGAAAGTGGAGTTGTGTCATCCTGACCCTGTTAAGAGTCCCCAAAGTAATGAGGAGGCTCTTAGGGAGAAATGATGTTTCCTTGCTGAGACGCCTTTGAGCTGAAGTAGGACCTGGCATCCCAGCCCACTCATGACATGGCTCAGATTTCCCCATGCACCCTTAACACTGAGACTCAGCTAAGGAAAGATTTCTCTAGCGCAGCCCAAAGCCTGGGTCCCAGTCTTTCCTTACTTTCTCCCACTTTTCTGGCACTCATTTTTATTTCAACACCCACTGTAAAGGTTTATGCAGATGACTGGCTTTTATTACATAGTGCGATGGAGACACGAATACTTGAGATCTTTGCTCAAGTGGACTTCTGATTATTTAGTTGGCATCACATAATTATTAAAGCTGCAAGTCTCACATACTTGTCAAAAGAATATGAAGGTTTGCCAGATGCTGGTGGCTCATGCCTTTAATCTTAGCTACTCAGAAGGCTGAGATTTGAGGGTGGCAGTTTGAAACCAGTTTGAGCTGGAAAGTTTGTGAGACTTGTATCTCCAGTTAAGCACCAAAAGCAGTCAGAAGTGGAGCTGTGGCTCAAGTGGTAGAACACTGGCCTTAAACACAAAAACAAAAACAGCTCCGTGACAGTGCCCAGGCCCTGAGTTTAAGCACCAGTCCTGGGGCATGCACAAATACACATACACACACATACACACACACACACAGAGGAATGTGATGGTTTGAAGCATTTAAGAGAGACTGGTGTTGGTGTCTCACATCTATAATCCTAGCTACTCAGGAGGCTGAGGAATGAGGTTTGAAATCAGCTCAAGCAGACAAAGTGGAGACACTCTTATCTCCAA